GGCATATTACACAGCATAACTTGGTGATTTTGTTTAGAAAACGAGTAAAATATTACCGTCGCTAACAGCTTTTGGAGGCAGCCATGTTGTGTACGCCCTCAACATCAAAATATGTTCAAAGCTTGAGTTCTATGTCAAAACTAGCGGATTTCATTCCTGCAGCTAAGCTTTTCCTGACCAAGCTATGCTGCACGGTGTCAAAGCTGTGATTTTCATTAAAAAGCTACACTTTCATTGGTACCCCTGATTATGAATACAATGTCTAAATGACATCTGTTTTTTTGTTAAAGATGCAACAAGTACCAATCTATTGACATTGGAGTTTAGTATTCCCCAAGGGTTTGCATGATTTATCACACAGACAATAATGTTTATCCACTCCAATCAGTGAAGCATTCCCCATCTGTTCCTGAGCTGTCAGGCATACTCAATTACAAATTTAAAGATTTGGAACTTTATCTATATCTCATGGTATTATTTCAGTACACATAGGACAATCAAATTTGAGCAAGATTTAATACAAATGAACAGTATAACAAAGTTTGACATTGCTTAGATGTAAATTACCATGCACACGCCAAAAACAACAATAACACCGACAGACAAAAGTTCCCTAATAAATCTCACCTTTCATTAACATTACAGGCAGGACAAAAAGCACTTGATTGTGCTGCAATGCAGTGCAGTAATTTAAAATTTTGAAAATTTTGCAGTTGAAATTTCCTGTGAAATAATAAGCATGTTTCTCTATGTTGTTTCTATGGTAACACAGGACAGCAAATCAGACTGACTCATTTGAACACAAGCAACTGTGGATCTAATACAAGGTTCCCTAAAAGTCACATTTTTCAGTTAATAAATCTTGGCCAGTGGATTTAGCCTTACCATTGAGTCTGGCACACTCACACAGGGTAGGGGGGGTCTACCTTTTTGGCGTTCAAACTCGGTCAGATTTGAGCTTGGGTCTACTGATCATGAGTCCAATGTGCAACAACTACTGAGCTACAAGTGACCGGTTGGGAACCATAGATCAGTTGCGTCTTGTAGTGATGCTGATGCAATTTTGTCAAAAACCGACAGAAATTTGGCCGGTCCTGAAATGCGACCTGCAGACATCATTGAAAATTAATGTAAAATTGACAGACATCCCATAATATTTTTTTCAGCAGATCATCACACTTGCATTGACTAAATTCAACACTAAACAGAGCACTGATATGGTCATCATTTATATTGACAACAGAATGTTTCTATAATTTTTTTCAGACTTTGGACCAAATGGGCATAGTTTTCATTTATCCACGGTATTGATCAACATCTTTGAAAAAAATTAGGCCAAAATAAAGTTGGTTTATTTTACAAATAATTGTTGGCAATCAAGTCTAAGAGACTGTACTTCACTTACAACACTATTGGTAGAATAAGGACATGATATTGCACTGAACTGTTTCACTCTTAGGTAAAAGTTTAAAATTTTCCAAATATCTATGAAATCCTTACCTTTTGGATGTGTATGTGAACATTCTCCAAATATCTATGAATTCCTAACTCACCTTTCAATGGAAGAGCTTCCACGATATCGGCACATTTCAAACTATTCCGAGCATAGACACACCATTCCTCAACTGCATTCTTGCCGACTACAAGTTGACCATCTTGAGAAGCTTCATACCTCGCCTGCCCCTGCCCCTCAACCAGTGACCTCTGGGCTGGATGTTCTCTGATTCCATAAATCAAGCCATACATTGATTGGCGCATTGGTTTGAGGATTACAGCCGAGGAGGGAAGTGATAAGTCACTGTCATCTTCCAGAGACATTCCAGAGTCTACTTCCGCAACAGTCATGACATTCAACACTCCTACAATATTTTCGCTATCTCGGTGTTGTTTTTTAGCCACTTCCAGAATTGTTGAGTGAATCACAGGTGTAGATACAAGTTGACCCTCATGACTCAGATCAAATTTTTGTTTTTTTCTCGGTGACATCGGAACTGGGTAATCGGCTTCAAGATCGTAAACTCTTAAACCTTCACGAAGGAGGCCATACTTGGAGGAGTCACGGAAAACCTCTCTCTCGATAAACAAGACATCCTTTTGTGTGGGTGCCCAGTTACCATAATGTGCAACGTACTGGGCAACTAAGGGGACTAGTGTACGATAACCAGGGATGCGGGCATGAGGGTGTAATTCGGCTAAGTATCTATGAAAGTTCTCCAGCACAGATGCAGCAACAATATCATTCCCCACCAAACAGGCAAACAGTGGCAATTGACAAACGGAAATCCCTAGTCTGGTACACAGGTTTTCCTGACAGTATTTCACCGTTGTTAGGCTTCTCAAATCTAAATGGTCCACAGAGAAATAATAACCGATGTCGCTGTAGATGAGAAAATCTGTATCTTGCCCAAGAATCCCGAGACAGCGATTCTGACGACAGTACTTAGCGATTTCATAATCAGCTTCCATTGAAGTGTTGATGACAGTGGCGCCAAGACTTTTCAAAGCAAGCCTGGTGAAGTGAGCCAGACTGACTGGTATCTGGAACATGGATGCACATGGCTCCTTTCCAGTCTTTTTCACATGATCAAAAATACTTTCTACCTTTTTGCGATCAGACAAGCGCCGTTCAACCCATACCGCTCTCTTACTGTTCTCTACCCTTCCATCAAAGAAGAACACAAGTTCAATTTTGGCTTTCTGGAAACTACTGATAAAATTGTTAAGCTCTTCAAGATACTGGTTCCATTGCCCTCCATATATCCACGGTATTCCCGGGTGATAAAGTTTTCGGAGACAGCTCATGCCATCCACCACTAACACAGCTGGTTTGCCATGTTCTCTGTGGTACCTTTGTTAAACACAATAAGAGAGTAACGATGAGTCGTGGAATGACGTAATATGCATATGTGGCTGACACAGTAACGATCAGTCTGTATTTGTAAAGAACTCCATAAAAAGATATATCAGAGAAAATGCACAATTTGTCAAAAGCAAAATAAAGTAGTCAAGGAACATTTTTTACTGAAATACAACCTCAGCATCCGAGACAGACACTTTTTAAGCAAACTTAAAATATCTCTAGAAAACAAAACAGATGAAGATAAAAAAAAAATCAAATGATGGCGACTGTCGCTCTGTGTTGTGTTCTATATGGGACCTATAGTGATGTAAACAACGCATGTAAAGTACATTGTTTTGTTTACATGAAATTTGAACATGTGAACATCACCCTTTAACTAAATAAGCCAATTATGTCCATCACTGTTTTACCAAAAGAGAGGGGTATATTAATCAGCTGCCTTTATTCAAGCAACAAAATAATAAATACCAGGGTTTTTTTTTACCTGTAACTTATCATACTGTCTTTTTATACTGACTTATAAAGTTTTTTTTTTTTTTACCTGTAACTTATGATACTGTCTTTTTATACTGACTTATAAAGATTTTTTTTTTTTTTTTACCTGTAACTTAGCATACTGTCTTTTTATACTGACTTATATAAAAGATTTTTGTTTGTTTTTTACCTGTAACTTATCATACTGTCTTTTTATACTGACTTATAAAGATTTTTTTTTTTTTTTACCTGTAACTTATCATACTGTCTTTTTATACTGACTTATAAAGATTTTTTTTTTTTCAATACCCTGAACAATTTTCAGTTGTTTTATTTTTTTTATCTTTATTCCTATTTTATTGTCCAGTGATTTCACATCAATATTCTAAAGTCTATACCAGGGATTTTTTTAAACAAGGGAACAGGGGCGCAGCACCCTCATGCCATGGCCATGCGCCCCCTTACCCTGAGAAGCAGATCCTCTGGCAACCATAAAATTCTGATTGATTAGGGATCACATGGGGCCAGTCTTCGATTGTGACCTGTCTGATAGTAATTTTGGCCCCAAAGAAGCCATAGACTGCTCCATTTTAACTTAGAATTATTAAAAACTCCACACCCTGGTAGGGAGAATCCTATCTGCACTTAGTGGCTCCGCTGCATTGCAGTGCCCCCTTTTGTAGTTTTTTTCTAGAAAAACCCTTCTATACAATTACAATAAAGATAATGTTTATTTATTTATTCTAATTATAGTAGTAGTATAAAACAACACCACTGCATAATGGTATAAGCTCTTTGCAATACCAATCAAAGCAGATTTCTGTAATGCTCATTCTAGCATCATGTATGTATGGTAAACCTGGCTCTTCTCCCTAGAGAAGTAGCAGACCCAGACCACAGCTGTCGGTGTCAGAAAAAAAAAAACGACACTCCCAAATTAATTGAAAAAGTATATTTTGTTTATCTTTTCTAAAAGTCAACATGTGCTCACACTGATTACAGGGTTGCATGTGACATCTTGAACTTTTTTCCTCCAACAATTTCTCTGCCAATATTTTAGAATCCACTTTTTTAGCCAGCTGGATATAAATTAATTTTGGATTAATTATTCTATTTCCTCCTTTATTCATAAATTATAAAATCTACACAAATTAATAACAAATTGCAGAAATTTTTAAAATTTCGAAAAACTGCTTTCAGCTTTTTTAATGCATTGTCACCCAAAACTAAAAGCCATATAATTTTTGTGTAGCACAGACACAAATTGAGCAAACGAAAATATACTATCAACATAACAAACCCATTCCCTTCAATCTTATAAAGATTTATAAATTCCAATGACAGTTAAGTGCAGTGCAAAATTCTAAAGTTATTTCATTGCCCAATGGAAACCTCTTGTTTATGTTTTGTCAATATATACAAAGGGAATGGGTTTGTTGTGTCGATAGTATTTTACATTTTACTCAATAACAAATACATTGCAAAGTGATGTCTATATCTCGTTAATATTTTGTAAAATGTACGATGTGCGATATCAACGTATAAAACGTACGATATTGGATGTGGATATTCTGCAGTTTTAAAGATGCTTGTATTATCCAGGAAATGTCATCAAAAAACAAAACAAATTAGAATTCATATGAAATGAGATGCTGAACTGTTCTAGTTATGGACATCGAGTTAGAAACATTGAGTTACGAAAACATTGAGTTACAAAAATGACGCCCATGTTTGCAAGACCACGCCCAAATTGTAACTAGATGTCCAACTAACAATTAACAGAACTTTAAGTTACGGGCAACAAATATTCTATTTTTTTTGTTAAAAGTCCACTTTTATAGTAACTCAAACTTCAGTTAGCAGTTAACCGAACTTTGAGTTATCGGCAACACATATATTTTTGTTTTGATTAACATACAATAGTAATATTCGATAATAATTTGAACTTTTATTATCAGTTAACTGAACTTTGAATCACAGGAAATATACAACCTTAAATGAAACAAGCAAGTCATTAAAAATGACACAGTCCCCGTAAAATTTTTGAAAGGTCTCTTTGTGCTCGTCATATTGAAGTGAAGGGGTTGTCGCGTATGTGTTCTTGAAACTTGAGTCCCAAGTGGCGTATACAACAGATTATTTATTCACATCAAATTCGAACATGTGTTGCATGACCACCCCTCTGGTTTAAGACAGCAAAGAAAAACATAGATCAAAAGTGAAAGCATGTCCAAGTTATCACATTTTAAACAAACAAGATGGCCACCAGTTGGCCATATTTGATCAAATTGAATTGACATGTACATGTATCCATTTATGACATGCTAAATATCAATGAAAATGATACATGGGTGACATAGATATAGTAATATGACCAAAAATAAAAACAGCCGTTATTCAGCCATCTTTGATCTGATTATGAAACAAACTGACATGTATGATGTATGTGCCAAATACAAATGAAAATGGTACATAAATTTTGGAAATATAGTAGTAAGGCCAAAAAGTCAGATGGCTATCAATCAGCCATTCTTGATCCGATTTTGAAACAAATTGTCCTGGACATGTATCCTAACATGTATAAAGTATGTACCAAATTTGAATGAAAACTGACAAAGCATGTCCAAGATACCAAACATAAAAAACAAAACAAGATGCCTGCAAGTCAGCCATCTTTGATCCAATTGCAAAAAAAATTGTCATGGACATGTATCCCTAACATGTATAATCTATGTACCAAATTTCAATGAAAACTGACAAAACATGTAAAAAATACGACATTTTCAAAAAACAAGATGGCTGCCAGTCGGCCATTTTGAATTGAATCGCTAAACCACTGCATGTGCATATGTCCCACATAAAGTACTAGGCACATGCAAAGAATGAACGAAATCGGTCCAAAGGATTCTGAGATATGACTCTGGATGGGCGCACGAACGCACGCACGAACGCACGAACAGAGACCTAATTATAAGTCCTCGTTTTCGGACTT